AGCCCAACGATTGGTCATGGGTTCTGGTAGTGATGACACAAAGCAGCCAGCATGAGCTTCCTCTGCCGGCGGGTCTCAGTCTTAGAGTTTGGGTGAGGAGCTCTTCGAGACAAAAGGAGCCAGCGGAGGTGGTTTGGGCATCTGACTAGCATTAGCCTCCTGCTGCCTTCCTCTGGAGGTTTTCCAGGCAACTGTGAGGAAACCCTCAGTGTAAACCTGCAGATCTCTAGTGAGCAGTAAGAACGCCAGGAACTGGAAAACATTCCCGGGGAGAGATAATCCTGCCGCCACCACAAACCAACTCCAGATAAGCACAAGAATATAAAGGGATGGATGGAAACGAATCCCATTCACCTTAGGCAACACACACACACACACACACACACAAACATCTTTGGAAGCCAACTTAATCCTTCTGTGCAGGAAAAACATGTTTTACTGTCGCAGAGGTCGAGCATTTACTCAGTTGTGCCTATTCAACGTAGTTTGGAACAAACAAATGTAAAGATAATAATAAACTGGCTAGACTGCTTTTACGCTTTCCTAAATCACATTACAACACAACTTTACTGCATCTTTGACATGATTTCTCCAGGATTACATTTTCTTGTGAGGCGTCACTCTTTGCTTTTATTTCATTCCTTCTTTTTGTCGTTCCTACTGAGGCGACCAAAGTTTAAATCAGATGGGATGAGACACGTCAAACTTGCAACCCAAAAAACCGGAGGAGACGCTTCAAACATGGTGTGAAAGGGTCGTCTGTGATGTTTTCTAATAATCACAACTTTTGGTGCCTCAATTTAACAAAACAGACGCTATCAATCTACAAATCTACAAAAAAAAAAACGGTCTCGACTTGAATCAACCGTTTTCTCTTGGTATTTTGCATGTTTAGGATCCTATTTGTTTGAATTTATTTTAATTATTTGGCTAATTTGACATCTGCTGTGCTACTCCTGCAGACTATATTCTTGCAATTTAGACAGTGTGCCAGAGTCTGTTTGAAACTTTGGATATTTTCATTCCTCTCCTACACAGCTGCCTCATGAAATCGATGCGTCAATACTTCTTTTGTCTGTTTCTGTGACGCTAACCAGGTAGTTTTGGCACATAAACGTAACAAAGCAGCTGAAGCCTTGTTTCCGTCATCCTCTCCTCCTACCTCCTCACACAGACTTCAAACTGGAAGCGTTTCCTACTGCGTCACCGTCTTTAATTTTCAGGGAAAAATTTGCATTTCTTTCAAAATGTAAATGAGAATGCAGCTGTGAAAAAAAAAAAACAAGAGTTGTCTAATGAAGCGATTGAAAAGCTTTGCTGCTCAGGACTGGATGACTCGTGTCAAACGGTTGCAGGAGGACAGGGTGGCTGAGGTAAAAACTGGCTGCTTCTGTAAGCGGTGTTTTGTAAAACATGATTCCAAGTCTGCCGGCAGGCCTCGTCCTGGTTGACTTTTGGGAGGTGAACCCTGTGGTTCTGGAGCAGCAGAGGAGGGCGAAGAGGCAGATGGGAGGAGTGAAGGACGAAGGGGAAGAAAGCGAACAAAAAGGAGCGTCTTGTCTTTATTCCGTCCTCCCTGCGCTCCGTCCAGATGGCGCCTTCCTCTCTTCAGCCGAACAGAACAGAGGGAGGCGACACGACGCCTGTCAGAAAAACCCCGAGAAACTCTGCCCCGGAGCCCGATGCGAGCCAGAACCTGTGACGAATCATCGCCTCGCATGCCGACAGTCTAATCTGCAGCCACATCAAGGAGGACGCGGGGGGGCTGGAGTCATCCCGGCCGGCGGGAGGTCGGGGCTGTTTTCACTGCGGCTGATGGCGGGATGCTGCTGTTGTTTGTGTGCTAACAGCCCTCCGATGGCTCCAAGTGTGAAACAACGGCAGCCATTAAAGCTGCTCGGTGTGACCCGGGGGGAGAATCCGCCTCAAACTGAGCCCAGCCCAGCGTCAGATGGTAGTTCTTGGGCTTTTTCTTGTAGATTCAGGGGGTTGAGATTAGTTTACAGGCACTTCACTAATCTGATTATTCTGTCTTTTTTATCATAAGTACCAGCACAGTTTTGCACCTTATCTCCTCTAGCAGCACGTTACTGTACAGCTTCTTTTGCACATTTGTTTCCTTATTTTTCCTAAATGTAACATGTGTGAACTGCTAGATACCTTGAATTTCTGCAAGGGGATGAATAAAGTATCTCCCTACTTAACTCCTTACAGCACTGAAGCGATTTCTCAGACGGATTTCTCACAATTTAACAAATCTGCACCACATCTCCACTTAAACCCGATTCTCAAAAGTTTCCTACATGTGCATGAAAGACCTCAGAAAGTGTCCAGCAAAAATATGGGAGGAATATTGTTGATCTTAACCTCTTGGGGGGAAAAAAAGCCACTCACGGATAGCATTTCCACTGCAGCCATAGTTGGATTAGCCTCCAAGAAAAAACACCGTTGGATGCCAACTCACCCCTACGATACACATAAACTTCATTATTATACCAGAAAACACTCAAATGTCAGAATATCAATGGCACCAATTGTTAATTTCTCAGTTTTCTATAAAAGTGAACTCGAAATTTGGGGTTTCAGCTTTTTGCCAAGACATTTAAAAGGTTAGTTCAGCCTTCAAGGGGATAATAACAGTCATTTTTCACTGTTTTCTGACATTTAAAACACACAAAAAAAATCATCAATTATTAAAGACAATAATTATCGGTGTAGTTAGCCGAAGCCCTACAGCACAACGGAATGATATGAACTCACTGCAGCCTTTTCTGCCTGTTAATTGTGGAAAAAAATGAAGCAATGATGCAAAGTACAGTCTGCAAAAATTAGATTTCGACACAGAGTCAGTCTACAACACAAGGCTAAAGGATGGACGACCCAGCAGAGTTCAGAGCTCCGAAGAGCAACCAGACATCAGCCAAGCACTAATAAACATTATTAGTGGTCATGTTGACATTTAGCGGGTCTGCTTGTGAGTGACTCGTCCAAATACATGTCATCTTTTCTCTTTGTCACACAGCTGTGTGAACTGCAGTAACTGAGTGGAGACTAGAGGCTTCTCTGTCACATAGCAGTGAGGCGTTTAGGGAACGTCGGTATATCATAGCTTCAGTAAAGAGTCCGTGTTACGCTCTGCCCTCTAAACTGCTCGAGCCTCTGCATGCACATCAATCAAGAAACACTGAGACGAGATAAAATGGCCGACGTTATGTACTGTGTTACTGCAATGTAGCCAAAGAACATCGGAGATCAGAATATTTACTGTCAAAGCATCGACGTTACCAACTGGAAAAAACATGAAACTCACACACAGAGTTTCAGGCAGCAGCAGACTCAGAAATGATACGGT